ATATAAATAAATTTATATTTTATATAAAATATAAAAATGAAGATGAGAAAAGAAAAGGCAAAATTGACAAATCTATAGATAAACCAGAGAAGAGTGATGAAATTAAATTACAAATGAAAGACACTATTGTTAACTATTATATGAAAATCAATTGAATAACCTAGAAAATAAAAGCTAAATTCCTGGATACGTATAACTTACCATGACTGTAACATGAAGAAATGGAAAATTTGGAAAAACTGATAATGATTAAAGATGTTGAAGCAGTAATCAAAAAGAATCCCAATCATAAAGCAGTAAGTCAAAAATTCAATGTGGTAAATAAATTTGGGGCTCTTCTCATCTATTTAAAAAAACAAACAAAAACAAAAACACGCAGCTAGAGCATTCATCACCATAATTGAGTGATATTATTAAAATAAAAAAGAAATTAAGAAAACAATTCTATTTAAAGCAATATCAAAAGACATGATAAGGAATAAATTTATGTCTACTGAAAAGTAGACAACATTGTTGAAAAAACTATCTAACGAGCAGAAAGACATATTATGTTGACGGATCCAAAGACATGTTATGAATATTAAATAGTAACACATGCTATAACATGGGTATACCTCAAAAACATCTTAATTAATAGAAGCCAATTACAAAAGTTACATGTTACATAATTACATTTATAGTAAATATAAAGAATAGGTAGATATATAGTGACAGCAAGTGAATTAGTGATTACCTGTGCTGAGATGGAGAAATGTGTAGTATGCTAATGGTTATGTGGCTGACTTTTAAGGTGAAGAAATGTTCTTAAATAAGATTGTGGTGTTGCTTAAATAATGCTGTGAATATGTTAAAACCCACTGAATTGTATACTTTTAATTTGTGAATTCTATAATGCCAGTCATAGCTCAATAAAATTATTTAATGTCAACACAGATTACTATTATTCTTTAAAAACTTGAATATTTTCCTGAGAATTATTTTTACCAAGTCATTCAATTTTACCAGCACTCATTTTCCTCAGGTAAAAATATCATTTGTATTGGTATATGATGCCATGAGGTTTAAAGTTTCTACAATTATTAAACTTCCAATATTTATTTTAAAAATCATCAAAGTCCACAAGTACTAAGTTTGTTGGACAAAACTACCATATCCCTTTACTGTACTAGTTGGTATGTATTGTATTTACAAAGGGCTTCTTAAAAGAAAGTCAGTGTTCTACTATTAACTCCTAAGACCTTATAAATTCTATGAGAGATGAGAATTTAGTTAATTATCAAGCCAAAATAATATTGACAATAAATCCTTTATTTACATTGCCTGTGTTCCAACATGCTTCAGTATCTTCACATAGATTATTACTAATAAACTTTAATTACATCAGCACTCTTATGATAACCAGTTGGTTTCACACAGAGGTAACATGAAAAGTGAATGGCACTTTGGAGACTAATATGGTTACAATCTGGTTCCATGAGAGAGGTTAGCATGGAAGAGAGCTGTGGTATCCTGGTATAATCACCTCTTGCTAGTTTCTTTAATCTCTCTTTAACCTTTAATATGATATTGCCAAGAGGCTCCAAATCAGCTGATTTCAACTACTGATTGCTCTCTAGAATCTCGGCAATTTAAACTCATTATCCTAGATAGCTTGGAGCTAGACTATTTTTAAGGCAACTGGTGTAACAGAGAGCAAAGGTAGATATCTCTGTTATGTATTCTCAGGGACAGAAACTCAAGACAATTGCTTGCTTGCTTATAGTTTCGTACCTACAAAGGTTACCAAAATGACCACAGGTTCTATTTTGTACTAATCCAAAAGTGTTAGTAAGACAGCTTAATCAAAATCTTGGAGGCTAATATTCATAGACTACTTTATCAGACTGTCTTAATATCCCCTACATCTCATTTAACTAACTGAAAGGTGGAGTAAATGATGATCCAAGAGTTCTTTGAAAACACTATCATACTGTTTCAGGTTACATTGACTTGAAAAGGTCTGGTATAATGTATATAGGAATATATGGCTTTTAAAAAGAGATATTGTGCGGGTAATAGTTGACCTCCAGTCTACTCTCATCGAGTACTACATGCTATTTCTTCTTCAAATACCCTGTAATAATTGGGCCCTCAGCAATACTTTATATGAAATGGAATGTCAAGGAGACCTAGACTTGCAAAGTTTCATTGATTTTCCAATTATGAATAATTTGTGTAAGAAAGTTTATGTGACAGGGAAGGTACAAGAATTCTTGCACAGATGTGTCATTCCATGATACAGCACTATTAATCATATTATACAAATGTAGAAATTATAACAGAAAGAAGTTAACTCATTTGCATGTGGTCACATATGTAGAAAGTGGAGGGGCCATGAATTGAATCCAGGTCTGTTCAATCTCTAAGTCTATGCTCTAAATAGTTATATCAGGTTGCCTTTTCTTAAAAGAGATTATTATTCAAAAAGCAGTTTTGAAGTTTTTTTTTACCTTCAAAATATTTTATAAAACATTTATTTCCTTAAAAGTTCTGTTGGAAAAAGATATAAAAATGTAAAATCACAAGTGAAATTATTTGTAAGGTAATAGTGAACTAATGAAAAACCTCAGTTAAACTCTGCTTTCTTAGGCCTTCCAGTAATTCAAAAACAGTCAAAATAATAATCCTGTATGACAAAGTAGAAATAGTGATAGATTATTGATTGGAAATATTTGTTCTGTCATTTACAAGCTGTCTGATCCCGGGAAAATAATTAAAATAAAGACAGAAATATCTACCTTTCCATTAAATGGAATGGGATATATAAAATGATTATAGTGTTTGGTACTTGATAAGCTCTCAACAAATGATAAATATTATTGTTATTACTATTAATAAGAACACTATGGGGATAATAAAGTACAAAGAGTAGTGAATGAAAGGAGGAATTTGGGGATGATATTAATGGCATGATTCAAAGTTACTTTAAGCATACTTTGTAAAGAACAAACAAAAATTGATTCTCAAGAAGAAATGATTATTAATCATGATGATCTATAATGTCTCTTTTGTTAGGGCCAGGTGTCAGATGGGTACTTCATATACTACATTATTGCTTTTCATTTTGAAGCAGAAAGTACTAAGATAGATAAGAAAAAACAGTTATTTAAATTGGTAGAAAACAGCCTAGAAGTCCTAACAAACCATAAGTATTGTGATTAAATAGGTACAAGGTGCAGTAAGGAAAATGACAAACATCCATATCTGGTTATTTAAATTCTCTAAAGCAGAATTTCAGAAGAAAAATATATGGCCATAAGAGATTTTCTGAGATAGACTTATATCTTAGTGTTAAAGAGATAATTTTAAGCATATCTAAATAACTGAATATGTGAAATAGTAATTAAATAACACCTATTTTGTTTACAGGGCTAAAATTGCTTTAATTATTACTATAAATGTCATTTCTCCATGGACACTTTACAAAAATCTATTTGACTACTATTCCACTTAACATTTTAATAAAGCAGGTACTTTTTAGAAAAATAACTGTTATCTGGATTACTGCAGGCTCTGATTCCCCAGCCATTGAAACACAGAAAAATGATTGACTTGCCTGGATATGTACCCAAAAAGGCGCCACTTACCTAGTGAAATATCCTCAAACTGCAAGTAAAAAACATTACAGGAGTAATTTATATTTAAGAGGATGAGCCTAGCCAATTTAATCCTATTTTAGATACAGGAAATGCCGTAGTTCCCATAAAGCTGCCACTTCCTGAACAAAATTATTTTAAATGTCAGGGGAAACCTTCCATGTTATAAAAATGATTACATTTCATTTTTAAAAAACACTTCACCACATTTAAACATGACAAAGTAAACAGAAGATTCCTCCAGTAGTTAACCTTGAACCACCACTTTGAAGCAAAAATCTCAAATTTCTTCAAAATGTGAGTTAAAAGATCCAGGTCCTAAGCCAAACCAGATAAACAGTTCTGTAAATCAAACACAGCTTTACAAAATTGATAAAATAAATATGCACATTACCTGGTAATTGTTTTGGTTTTGTGATAATCTCAATTGGTTTGATGATGAAAAATTTGGAGAAAAATTACTCCGTAATGGATTTGTATTACTGTACAATGTACTAGATGCTGTATGTAATGAGGTTCGTGGTGTCAAATGGTAGTCTCTGTTTTGATATAGTATATTGTCTGACAAATCTCTAATACTCAACATTTGTGAATTTGGTATATTTCTTCCTGGTCCAGGCAAAGTTGTACTTTGGTTCTCATTTCGAATGGAACTGCCACTTTCATAAAATCTTGAGTAGCTTGGTATTTGTGCTCCCATTAATGCCAACTCCTCCTCTCTGGCATATTCATCCTCAGCATCTCCAGTCTCCATTGCAATGGACAAACAAGTTCCTTCTGCTGACCTTGGAGGCTTCTGCGTGGCACTTCCTCCAAGAATTTTCTGGGGGTAATCGCTTACTGCCAATGAAAACACTTCACGGATTTCCAAATTTTGTGTTCTACAGTAAGGGTCTCTAATAGCTGGCTTTTGCCCACATAAGTTATGTGATGTCATACCTATATGTTCAGGCTTATATGACCTTTGAATTCCAACTGGTTCAATTTTGCAAGGTCGGTGGCACACAGATGGCTTTTCAGGTACTGTCATTTCAGAAGCTTGCACTGAAGAGCTTCCATAGTTTTTCTTTGTGTGATTGTACACTGAGTTTCCAGCATTTAGCACACTTGTCTGTCTTGACAAAATAATTGTTTTTTCACCTAGGAGCAGGGAGGCATTTTTACAGTGGGCTACTTGTCTTTGAACAGGAATATGCATCTGAAACTCAGTATCATTTTTACTGGCTGTTTTCTTAATAGGAATTTTATGTGCTTCTGTAATTTGTGTATTTGTATGTTTAGCTGTTCCTTGTCTACTCAATGAACTGGCTGGACTGTATATACCTGTTAGAATGACATCATTATTGGCTGATGTCCAAGAAGACTGTTGGCTTGAAAGTCGAGCACTATTAACCACATTTCTGACTGTAAGTTCTGGAGCTGCCAAGGAGGTACCAGAAAGAGTTCCAGTTGTTTCTGATTCAGAATTCTTACTACTCATTTTTCTTCGCTTATTGCCAACCCACGTCTGAAAGGATAAAAAATGGCATTATGAAATAAATTATAAAACACACCAAGAAAAATAATTTATCATAGAATCAAAGCCTATGCAAAGGTAAAAGAAAAAGATACTTAAAAGAATATTAAGTGGGGCCAGGGATTTAGCTCAGTGCTTTCGCCTCCTGCTGCGCAAGTGCAAGGACCTGAGTTCGATCCCCAGTACCAAAAAAAAAACAAGAATATTAAGTGAAGTACAGTATAAGATCAAATATGATTAAGTATTCACCCAAAAAATATTTAAGAACACTGAGAACAGTGTTTCATTTCTCTTTTCTTCTACAAAAGTCATGTAATTAATACAAATAAAGAATTGTATAAATGTTTATATCCACTGACCTAGTAATTGCACATTTCTATGAATTTATCCTAAAAAGTGACCACTAATGTACACAAAATTTATACGTATTGATGTTCAATGTATATAAATTTGGAAGCATATAAAAGGAGATAGTGCTCTTCAATGTTATTAGGAAATATTCACCATATTATTAAACAAATGCACATTTGCAGTCTTCAGACTTATGTTAAATGGATATAGCATAACTTGATTAATTTCATACTGGTAGAAACATATTTACATATTCATTATAATAAATCATTTTGCAATATTCCTCTTTTTGCATAAATCTTTGCACTATTGGTTCATTAGAATGCAATACTTGGAGGATTGCTAGTGTATATTTCCAAGTGCTCTCCAACATGCAAGAACACTGTTGCTTTACACCCTGACTGGTTTGCATTTTGGGAAGAACTTTACTACCCTGGGAATTAATAAAAGATAAACAATTGCTGTTTTGATTTTAATTTCTAGAAGTATATTATTTTAATAGATTTTTTCATTCATTATGTATCTATTTTTATATTAAGATGTTTGACTTTTAAAATTAATTTGTAAAAGCAATTTTCTACTAAAGACAGCAACACATCACACATTGCAATCTTTTTGTTTTTGTCATTAATTCGTGGTAGTATTGTCTTCTTTTCTCAGATCATTTTCTTTACTAATATATGTTTGTAGTACAAAATGTTTATATGCCTTGTGGGAGCTGATACATAATACATCTCAATTCCTTTTTTCACCCCTTTCTCCCCACTCCATTCATCTCTTGATCCTCTTGCCTTTTTAAATACATGTTTGGGTTACATAATGTTTACCTTCCTTGGGTGAAGTCGCTACATTGCATAAGACATCTTAACTCCTTTTATCAACTCCTTTCCTTTACCTCCTTCCCCCATCTCTGATCCCTTTTTCCCTTGAAAAAAAATCTATCTTTCTACTTCCAAAAGAAAAATAGTATTTTCTTCTTTACACTTTACTTATCAAACTTTATATAATGAATATATATTTTTATAAACAAGAAAATATTAATAAAATTATAAACAGTTGGTATTTTGTATGTGATTATAAAATACATATTTCTATGAGTGATTCACTAAAATTATTTATGTAATTATTGCCTTGAATCGTAGTTCTTCATAAAATAAGCAATAAGAAATATTACATTCTAAATGGGATTGCCAAACTTTACAATTATTGCTAGATACACAACAAATGACAAACTACTAAAACATATTAATCCATTAAGAATTAAACAAAATAAATGAAAACATTAAATCAATTAGTCTTGCATAAATGTGGTACAGATTTGCGTAGCTCATCTATGATATGTTTTGGAAAGCCAGTTAAATTAGCCAGTTTTCAATGTCTATTAATATATAATTATATTCAATATTAATGTTGCTATAATACCGTAAATTGAAGCTAACATGCTATTGAATCTCCCATTATGTGTTCTTTTTATGTATTAGTTCCTTTAGTAGGTGTTGTTTTTCTAATTGTGTAAATCAAAAAAGGGTGGTTCAGAATTAATAAATAGTTTGTGGAAAGATATTTTGCCTACAAATAGCTGAGCAAAGATTCAAAGTCAACTCTACTTGATTTGTATTTGACTTGAGGTAGTAGGATTTTAAACTGACTCTGGTTTACTTTCTTGAAAGAGCAGGAGGGATAATTATAAGCCAAAGGAAAATGAAATAGAAATGTCACAAGAAGCAAGGTAGAAAACTAAAAGGTTTTAAAGTATACACTCAAAAGAAATATTTAAAAATAAATGTTTTTAAATAAATTAAATTTCTACTAAGATGAATTTTACAAATATTCAAAACAAATGTCCATGTTATGGCTTTTCAAGTAAGATGAGACAAAACAAAAATGCATGGAAAATGAAAACAATGCTGAGATTCCACCTCACTCCAGAAAGAATGGCTGCTATCATGAAATCAACCAATAACAAATGCTGGCGG